GAGGAAACTCCCTGGTCTTTAATATGCAGTTGAGTTATAGCTTTTTCTGTACAATAATTCTGACAGAATTGCCCAAACTCCAACAACAGAGCTCACGAAAGGCGGTGCTCACCCGTCACTTTGTCGTCTATTTCTAGAATAAATGTACTTAAACCCTCAGTAAAGATCAAAACAATGTGTTAATAATACAGCCGAGGCCGCCGGTCATGTACCACAATAGGAATGAATTCTGAATTATTAAAAACGGATGATTTATGTGGCTCTTTGTTCAGTGTCATTAACACACTCCTGGACCGTCTGCTTCTCACAGAGAACAGACCAGTTTCGTCAGTTTCGTTAAACTGGGCAGTTGTATCCCTGCGAAAGTCTGAGCACACATATTAAAAGTGAGTATTATTACAACCCACGCATTTAATTCATGTTCAAAAAGGTTATTCTGGAGAATTGTTTTCTTTTTTCAGATTCCGCTGTTTCAATGTGGAATTTTCTACGTCATCCTTGAAAGTGCCTTTTCACCGTCAAATACACACACCCCGACGATCTCTTTGATCTACTACCTCATAATCCTCACAGATACACAGAAACCCCATCAAAAGACATGGAATACGGAGCAAACCCTCTCTTCTTTCAAACGCGCTTTAACATAATCTGTACGGTTGTTTTGGCAGAGGTGCTCAAACTCGGACACAACAAAGCACACAACAGTCAGTGCTCGCCAGGCAATTTGTGGTCTCTTTCTACAATAAATGTACTTAAACCGCATAATAAATGAGAAGCAGGTGTAAGAAATACAGAATGACAGGCAGCAACGTATCGCAGTGAGTTCGAAAAGTTTAAAACCGATTTTTTATTTTGCTCTTTGTTCAGAGTCATTAACACACCTCACCGTTTTGAAGGGAATTACTATTACATTCCTTTATACCGAGATATCGGATCAGTTATCAAATCGCCTTACCCATTTAAAAACACACGCTGAGAGACTGACGACAAAAGCAGCAGATTCTCACGACAGTGGAAATAAACTCTCGTTCTGTCGCAGTGCTAGGGATCGATCACAATACAGAACCGAGTGACTGTCCTGTTAAATAACGTCAATTCACATAACTTATCGATTTTTACACGTAACCTGTCTCAGCAAAGGACGCTGGCGGAAATCGGGAAAGTGACTACAAAAAATGAAGACCGCCACATTTTTCAGAAACCACACTGGCACGTTCTGTGACATCAAAACATCCGCCATCTTACACAAAAGTTGTCTAAGTGGAGTTTGTATGTTGTCCCCATGTTTATGTGGGTTTCCTCCTGGTGCTTTTGTTTCCTTCTACAGTCCAAAGGCACGTTTGTACTGTAGGTTAACTGTCTTCTGAGAACATTGGCCCTGTTGTGAGTTTCTGCCCTGTGATGAACTGGTGTCCCACCCAGGGTGTATCCTGCCGTGCGAGTGTTGCTGGCTGGAATCGGGTCCAGCTCCCCCTGCGACCCTGTACTGGATAAAGCCGTGAGAAGACAGATAGATGTACTGTTCCAGGGTAGAGGTTTGGATTGTGTGTCAATGATTATGCCTGGAGCGGAACTCAGTGACACATTTGCTTGTAAAACTGCCTGCTCTGGGACAGTGGCAGTGAAAGGTTGAGGTGAAACAGCTCCTATATGTGTGACACAACACACCTGTCTGCATGTTTTGGAAGGGAAGTTGGAATTCTATAGATGAGGAAGCTTGAAACTCCTGCAAATCTGAAGAAACATTTTCTCAGATCTGTAATTACGGTGAACCCCAATGGAAGGACTACTGACCAGGCTCATGAAGTTTGTAACATTTCTTGTGAATTATAAACAGAGAATTGTGTCCAGATCTTTAAAATCTAAAGTGTCTTGTGAGAGGCAGCTCCAGAATCCCTCTTGAATAATCCCATCTAGAAGGTTATTTATTTGTACCTTAATCACAATTCTAAGTATCTTTAAATGAAGGACACATGTCTTTGTCAAAGAAAATAAACTTTAGTAGCCTATAGCCTATACTTACTTTGCTATTTAAAATGCTCCATGTGGTAGTGGGCATGAGCAGTAACATTAACACTGACTGACTGACTGACTGACTGACTGAATGACTGGACACTACAGCACAGGGACACTGACTGACTGACTGACTGGACACTACAGCACAGTGACCCTGACTGACTGGACACTACAGCACAGAGACACTGACTGACTGGAGACTACAGTCCATTATATCTGTGAATGAGAGAACAGGCAGTAGAATCGGGAATTAGGTCGAGATTGAATGGAAAAGGATGAGTTGAGTTTCTGAGGCTTATAGTAAATCAAAACAAACAGTATAATTCGCAATATTGATTTTAATTAGTACAAGCGCAGCGTACAGAACAAATATACATGCTTGAATCGATAATGATCATATTATCCTTGTTAGTTTATTTTAATTGCTTTGGAGTTCCTATTTTTTTCAATGCAATAATATTGACTTTTTTGTAATTTAAATATAGATTCTTTTTTTTTGTTGTTTTAAAATATTTTAGCATTTCACACATCTTTCAGAGAAACAGAAGGGAGAGAAGATATGAAAGAGGGGTTTTGTGGGAGAGCATGAACTCAACACAGACTGATGGCCCACTCAATAGCACAAACATCCACAAAATCACAGCTCAGAAATTAAACAACGCTAAAGCACTATGCCCAGCTTATACAGTGGATCGTTTTTTTCTCTGAAATTTCTATACACCAGATGTGTATACACACTGTCTTTAACATAAGTCTGTAAGCCAGGCGTGTATATATTCAGGATGTCCAGTAAGAGTCTTGACTCCAGGTGTGTGTGTGTGTGTATATACAGTGTCTCCAATAAAAGTCTGGACTCCAGGTGTGTGTGTGTATACAGTGTGTTCAATAAGCGGCTGGACTGCAGGTGTGTGTGTGTGTACAGTGTCTCCAACAAGAGTCTGGACTCCAGGTGTGTGTATACAGTGTCTCCAGTAAGAGTCTGGACTCCAGGTTTGTGTTCGATATACAGTGTCTCCAATAAAAGTCTGGACTCCAGGTGTGTGTATATACAGTGTGTTCAATAAGAGTCTGGACTCCAGGTGTGTGTGTGTATACAGTGTGTCCAACAATGATATCCACAATGAGTGTTTGGAGATACATGGTCTCACCAGCAAGTGCCTGTATGTCTGTGTTTGCTTCCAGTACAGTATGTGTGCACATCAGGTGAAAATGAAGTTCTGTCACTGGGAATCACCATATATATATTGGGCAATAAAGAAATTAAAGAACAATATCCAAGCAGTCTCTCAGACAATGTATAAATGAATAAACAAACAATGAGTACATTAGTACAAAAACAAACATTTAAAAAATAAGCACAATTACAATTTCCAGGTACACATTCATAAAAGTGTTTTAAGTATTCTTTTTTTTGCATAAAGGAGTACAGTTTCAGAAGTATTTTGGAGCTATTTTGCCCATCATTTACAAAGTTAGCAAGCTTTGAAAAGTTAGTGCAAAAGCACTGATCTAATGAAATTCTGACATTTATGAATGATCTGCTCGGTTTTTCCAGTTACTTTCTCACTATCTGTATCAGTCATGTTAGTGTGCTTATTACCGATGGGTTCTATATTATCTCCTTTCTCTCTCACTGTCACTCCTATCCTGTCATATGCATTTTAGAGATTCCTTCTCATGTCCTCTCTCTCTGTACGTACAGTATATAGTATCCTCTGTTGCATGTTTATGGTAGGGGTGTAATTTCTTAGTATTGGGTATAATTACTATATGGCATTACACTAGAAGGTATGAGAAGACAGAACAGAGGATCTCTCAGTAATAAACACACAGCAGGACAGGAGACACAGTAAGAGAGAGGAGATCACAGAGAATGCCTCAGTAATAAACACACACAAGAGGACAGGAGAGACAATAAGAGGAGATGACAGAGAATCCTTCAGTAATAAACACACACAACTGGACAGGAGGTACGGTGAGAGGAGATCACAGAGAATCCCTCAGTAATAAGCACATGAGGACAGGAGACACAGTGAGAATAGATCACAGGGGATTCCTCAGTAATAAACACACACAACTGGACAGGAGGCACAGTGAGACGAGATCACAGAGAATCCCTCAGTAATAAGCGCACATGAGGACAGGAGACACAGTGAGATGAGAGAACTGGAGGAAACCAAGCAGATGGCATTAATGTGTGTAAACTAGCATCTGTTTTTCTGAGCAGATGACAAATGTATGGAAGACATTAGTGTTTGAAATCAGAAGGATATGGGGCTGATTTGCCTTCAGTGCTTTTCCTTCTCTCCTTATTTCCTTCCTTTCTTCCCACTCTTTGCTGTCCAGGCTTCTGGAGTCCAGCTCAGGTGAAGAAGTACACTTGGGAAGAGAAGGAGGTGGAGATAGAGGTCATGAGAAAGACAAGCTGCACAGGAGAATAACTGGTTCATACAGCCAGTATGCCTGTGTGACTCTACAGTCCAGTCCAACTACATTCAGAGAGAGGAAAGCCTGAGAGAACGCTACAGATTCAAAACTGAGGTAGTGGAATGGAGTTAATCTAGACACTGACATGAATTAAATAGATACATTGCTCTGCAGAATACTTAGACATTCTGCACTGTTCTAGTATTTTCACTCAGGTTTCCCTCTTTATCTGGAAACAACTCCACAGTGATCTCTCACTGAAATAATTGCTATCTGCCTTGAAGATAATGGTCATTTATAAGGCTCCCAGAGAACTGAGCCCCAGTCTGCACCTAATCTCAGGAGAAGATGAAAGCTGCTACTGACTCACCTGCACCAGGGACATGAGCGGAAGGCTGTTCTTCTTTATGGCTAAGAATCTTTGCCAAATGGGATTGTATGGGCTGGTTTGGGACTATCAGGATAGGATATTTCTGAGATCAAACAGGAAAGGAACGAATACAGTACTCTCACACGGGGGAGGAGGGCAGAGACAGATTTTAGCCTTCAGAGTCTCCCATTTCCTTTCCTGTCACACAGCAAAATTCCATCCAGCAGTCCTCTCCTGACCCACTGGATCACGTCTGACCAGGGATTGTTGTCCCGACTTTGATCTTGTGGTCCCAGTGTCTCTATCTTCCTAATACAAGGGTGGTCGATAGCAGCTTTCTTCTTCTGAGCAAAGGTACTGGCTGGGGTGCTCCCTACTCTCCTTAGGGGAGGAAGAGAATCTTCTCAATTACTCCTGCTGTAATGAGGACAGCTGGGTGCCAGGGGGATTTCTGCAAGAGACTGCAAAGGGGAAATACCCCAGAGGGAAATCCATATTAAATGGGACAAGAGGCCCATCTCTTTGAAGCGTGCTGGCGCCCTCTTGTGGCTTAAGGGGAACACAGACCAACTGTAATGCTGACTTGCTGCAGTAGATTATACTTACGAAAAATGATGCCCACCACAATGGCACATATCACTCCCATCATAATCATCATCTAGGACAGAGAGAGAATTAGAGGGTTAAGAGTGAGTGGACGTCACATCCGCTAATAATCCTACGGATTTAGATGATGCTTTCCATCTTTTCCCTGTGTTTGCTATCTACAGATATTCAAGAACATGTCCCCTGTGAATAAGGAGAACTGGGGATATTGCATTTGTCATGCTGCCCTTTGTGTTAACGCACAAAGACCCTGTAACTCTGCTGCTCCTGCTGCTGACACAAGAAGCACATTAACTAGCGAAGCTCACAGACCCCTGCTCATGGCCCACCTTGCAGTTTTTCCACCAGTACTTCCTCTTCAGTTTGGCGGCGCTGCTCTCAAACTGCGAAGCACCGGCCTGCAGTGCATCGGCCCGGTCATCCAGCTCCGAGAGTTTCTGGTCACGCTCCAGGACCTTGTCCACATTGACTCGCATGATGTCGACAACCTGAGAAAGAGGCATAGAGAGAAGTCACCCTGCTGATGCATTAACAGCCCACCTGTGTCCTAAGATTACATGTACCACCATCGGTGTCGTCTGTCTGCATACACACCCAGGTAATTCCTCTGTTAGGAGAGACACTAGAGCCAGGCTGTCCAATCCAAGAACTCGACAGTTGCACCCTGGGGCTGGTGTGTCTGCAGAGTTTTTTTTTTCCACCCCCTCAGCTCTTTTAAAGGCCTTAATCAGATTGCTATTGTTTAAATGGGTACAATTCATCCTGAATCTTCAAAATGCTACACTAATATCTGTATTAATCGCTGTGTGTGAGGTGTGTCTCTAGGGTCTATATTAGGGTCTGTATTAATCTCTGTGTGAGGTGTGTCTCTAGGGTCTATATTAGGGTCTGTATTAGTCTCTGTGTGTGAGGAGTGTCTCTTGGGTCTGTATTAATCTCTGTGTGAGGTGTGTCTCTAGGGTCTATATTAGGGTCTGTATTAATCTCTCTGTGTGTGAGGAGTGTCTCTAGGGTCTATATTAGGATTTCTCTGACCTCTTCTACTTGCGCTTGTGTCTGCTGCAGTCTGCGATTGCTAGAGAGGTTGGGAGGGGCAGGGGGAGGGCCAGACCCAGGGGGCCCTCCTTCTCCTCCTGGGGCTCCTGGTGGCCCGGCAGGGGGGGCAGCATCCGGGGCCGCAGCTGGGGCTGACCTGAGTCAGAGAAAGGAGAGACAGAGTGATAGGAGGAGTAAACATATCCCTTATGTAAACATATCAGGTATATTGCCACTGCACTAAGAAAGACAACAAAAAGTAAATAATCGCTAAAATATTTACAGTATTAGCTATATGCTGTTTCTAATTTCTTGTTTTGGACAGTATTACACTGTCATTATTTATATTATAACAAATATAATATAAATTGACTGTACTACAGTGTATATTGTACTGTTATACTGTCCCGTGTTACAGAAAGGAACCCCATATGTTTTGGGGTGCATCAGATGCCCCACTACACAGCAGATCAGGTGAAGGAGTGGAGAAACTGCTTCAACAGTCGAATTAAGAGAAACCTTACAGCAGGCCAGATTCTACAAGCGCCAACTGGAAAATATCAGCTGGAATTTAGCCAGGACACTGGGCTTTTGTTCCTACACTTACAGCCTCTGCCATGAGATCCTGAATGACTCATCTTTGATGAGTCAGAACCTCAGTTTTACATCTCATCT